TTCTGAATGGGTTTTGGTGCATGGCTGGATATTTGGGTTTTATTATTGGGCATGTATTTTGGGGAAATGTTTCTTTGCTTTGCTTCCAATTATTTATATATGATAAAAAGCTTTTAAGAATAAAATTCAAAATAATTTATAGGCAGCAAGGTTTTCCTGACTGCTAATTGTCTTCATTCTACCCTCTGGCCTTCCCTCTCTACTGAAATACCTCAGTTATTGTGCCTCTTCTCAACGCCCTCACCTCAAGCTCAATATATACTTCGTATTTTAAATTGTAAATTCAAGTATCTTCACTTAATCAGGCCTGTCTTTATTATTATTATTACTATTGATAATATTGTTCATTTAGTAGCTGTTTTATTTTATTGGCATGTTGTCATTAAATCTGAGCCAGTAAACATCTCTCTTTGCTATGCAGTTATGTGACCCTATGAGCTTATTCGTAGTCTCAGTTCATCAGTGTTTTTAGGGGATGTGGGTAGAATATTTTAGTATATATAAACAGACAAATGGATTATGACATTAAACATACATTGGTTGGTTGGGGTGGGTGGGTGCCTTTTTTTTCCTTTCTGTTTTTCCCTTCCCCCCTTTCTTCCCTAAACATTTTTTTTTTATTCTAGCTTTTCCCTAAATATTTTTTGTTTCTCATAAAAAGAATGGCTAACATCAAAATACTATAAACTTTGATTTCATATAAACATTCATTAAGCTAATTAGTGGAAATATATATATTTTTTTTTTTTTTTTGTTTGTTTTTTTTTTTAATTTTTAAATTATTATTCAGGCCTGAAATTCATTTGTGATTGTTTGAATTTAAATTTATGCTTTTAAGAAAAAATTTTATTATTTTGCCAAAAATTTGTGTTTACTTTATTGGATTTTTTATTATTATTTTGAATGAAATTGTTCATTTTGACCTTCCTCTAAAAAGCAAACAAAAAGCAACCTTTCCTCTGCAGTCAGGTCAGATCACACATGCTTTCTTTGTTTTACTTGGACACCTAAAATAACTCAGTGTCATTCAACTACATAAGGAGCTTAGTCATCAGAAAATGTATTTTATAGGAAGAACATTTAGCAGATATTTACCTTTCTACCCTCTTCTGCTTGTGCCTGTCCATTGTTCATGAAAACTTGGTCTGCTCATTTTCCTGGCACAAAGCCTCTCATCAAAAGGATGCCATTCATGTTCTTATTCATTTGAATATTACATGCAGCACAAGTTTTGTGGGTGGGGGTTGGCAGCAGTCACAGTGGAAGAATTACTTGGGTTATGTCAGACGAATAAGATAAAAAACACAGATGTTTTTATTTTCTGCCTTATCAAATTTTATATATACAAAAATAATCTCAAATGCATTCACCAGAGTCACTCATTTGCATCTCCATTTTGATACAGTGAATGATGTCATTCACTATCATTCTCATATTCTTTTATTGTAACACTTCCCATGACAAAGATGCAACCTTGGTGTTTATTTTTATTATCTGCTCAAAACATTTAGTATGTGTCTTTTTCATTTTTTTTTTTATTTTTTTATTTTTTTATTTTTTTTCAAATTAGCGATTTAAGAGGTTATTTTATAATCTAAGAGGCCGGTTTATTTGTGGTGGATCAAGAAGACTTCTGGCCGAAATTTGCTCTGGTTCATAGCTGAAGCACCTACTTAAAAACAAAAGACCCTCCTCTACTTTGTTGGCTGCTATCATGGCTTCATCCAATTTTTTTTCTACTAATCCCTTTGTTGTTTCAAGATCAACTTCTCCATTTTTTCAGGATTCCTTGTCAAGCCTTTTTTTTTTTTTTTTTTTTATAATCCCTTTGCAAGCCTTTTTACAGACTGACTGGATGCCCAAACATTGGTCTACTGCTTTGGCAGTGTGACATGATGACCAAATAATGGTTGGAAGCTAACAGACCCTAATAATCTTTATCTATAAATTCAGTACTTTTCTGCAAACCAGATTGCTATAACATTCTGTTGTGATTTGCAGAGTTAGCAATAAATGCTCAATAATTAATAAGAAGGTATTTTAGATGAAAACTATAAGAAATATGGCAGTATATTGCAGACATGCCTCAAATGAATTCTTGTATTTTCATTATTATCACATTTAGATAGGTATTTGGGCTTCTTTTTATTTATATATATATATATATCTCGACAATCATACTTGTGTGTATGCATGTGTGTGTTAAAAAATGACATTAAATTTTGGGTCTGTTATATGGATTTCAGAAACAAAAAATATTTTCAAAACATTTTATGCCACTGACCTATTTTTGGTTTCTAGAGGCTCTGACCTTTTCTGCCATTTTTATCAATTTTAATAATTAATGTAAAATTATATATATTTTTATTTATTTATTTTTATATATACTTTTTTTTTTTTTCAAAAATATTTCAAATGACTTTGCTACCCCATTGGTGCATACTAATAGGTTGTTTATTTTTCACAATTTTTTTTCATTGTATATTTTTGAAATATGAGTTGTTAGCCATTCATGTCAAACAAGTTTCAAAATTGGAACCAACATTCCTTCCCCTCCCACCACCAAAAAAAAAAGAAAGTGACAGGAATTTTTAAAATGCCAAAGCATTTCTAGATCTGAATAACCAAAATCCTGCTTGCCCTGATCCAAATGTTGGCTAAAAAAAACTTTCTCCTTGCCTGAACACCCCCACCCCACTAAACTTCTTATGTCACTTACCAATTCCACACACTATGGCAGTGGGTGGAGGGTAGGGCACTGTCTTGAAGAATTTGATGAGCTTAATCTCCAAAGCAATATTTTTTTGTTTACTGGGTGAACGAATGCTTCATTGTTCGTAAAATGTCATGATTGTCTCCCCTTTTATTATGTGTTCATTTAATTTACTGAAATCGATGGGGAAATTGTCACCGAGAATGATCTCCCTTAAACCAGGCCTTTTTTTTATTCGTTCTCTTTAATAGCATTAATAAATTGAATCCTTATAAATATATTTAAATACCAAATGAAAACTTACTCTATTTGTCTTTTATATGCAAATAATCATTTTCTTAGTTATTTCATTATGACTAACATTATGCGACAACTTCATTTTATTGTTCTTTATACCCTATCCAATTCCAAATAAAGTTCTGATGTCTTTTATTACCAATTATTAAATTTTACTTTCCATTTTTATTGACTAGAATTTATATTTACACACACACACACACACACACACACGTGTATGTGTGTGTGTGTAATATATATATATATATATATATAAGAGTGTGGTATATTTAGTTAAGAGTAAAAGTGCTCAATATCTGGGATAGTGTATCTTCAGACACATGGCCTTTATTTAGGCATAAAACACTGTCAGCATTCAGTACTGAACTCTGTGCCCACACTACCCATGTATTCATATTCACAAGCACTCTATACTTGCCAGGAAAATTAAAATCTAATGATAATGTCTTTGCATTGTTAGCATAACTGCAGGATTATATATATATATATATATATATATATAGAGAGAGAGATTTATGACAAATTGTTATGTTTTTGTGGCATGTTCCATCCATTAGGACTTCAATGGACTGGGTTTGTTAAAATGTTGTTGTGACTACACATGTATATGAACAAGAGATGCTGATAATTTCAAAATTCAGAAATTTTTTTTAAATTTTGAAACTCAGTGTTCCTTGTTTGTGCACATTTGTAGTCACAACAATATAAACAAACCCAGTCCAATGAAGTTCTAATGGATGAAACATGCCACAAAAACTTTTTCCAATTTGTCATATATCTTTTCTTTTGAAATGGTCATATACATATATATATAATCTCACGTTATTACTTAATGAAAGATTTAAATTTTGTGTAAACATGAGTCAGCCAGCTTTGAAAGTTTTCTCTTCAGTGCAATTGTTTGTCATATACTCAAATGTTTGCTTTAGAAATTGCCTATAATTTCAAATCACTTAAATATACTTTTGTTTATATTGTCACACTAGACGTGAATTCCCAAGAGAAAAATAAAACTATTTAATTATTCAAAATGTTTCTGACTTTATAAGTATTCAGAAAATACAAACCTGGCATATATTATACATAAATTATTAGGCATTTATTTATATCATTTATTTAATAACCATGTTTAATTATTTATTAACTGTGCTCATAACTAATTTGTTTATAATAAATTATATCAATATATAATAATAATAATCTATTATAATATAAAACAACATTATTATAAAACGAAAAATATAAAAATTATTATAACTAAAAAAAATATAATAATTATTATTATTATAATTAATTTATAATAACTCAATTTATTAACCATTTTCTGTAAATAACCATATTTAATTATAGTATTTTATTCATGCATACATAGCTTAAAATTAGAATGTAATTCTGAGCTATATGGGTACATAGCTTATTTGTTTGATAAATCTATACTTTCCAATAGAATTGTCAAAGAATAAACGACTTTGTATTTGCTTTAAAGATTAAATGAAATAAAATCTTTTGCAAGGATAGTTGCCTTTCTATAGGTAATGTGAACTTGATTGTATTATCAGTGCCCAACTTCTCACTGCCTTTAGTTCCTGTGGAACCTTATCCCAGCTGTCCCCAATTAACACTTTTGTGAATGGTATTAATAACCAAAGCTTGTATATATGTGTAAAAATTTCATTGCCTTTAATCCTTACCATTGAGCGCGTATCTTGTGTTCCCTCTTTGCAGATGATTAAATATCTAAGTTAATGCGCTGCCCGCCCTGTCTGACCAGCTATTGATGATTGGGGTCCCAATTAGTCCTGTCAGGCTCCTCACTCCCACCCGCCATTGCCTGTAACAAGCTGTACTAACCATTTCCCCCCATGTACGAGCAGCTGAAAAGGAGGGGGTCAATGAAGACAAAGCAATTGTTACTGTGCCACAGACACTCCATCCATCTCGTTATTATATAGCATCAACTCAATGACTTGCTATGTTAACCTTCCTGCAGGCTACCAAGCTGACAGTAGTGGTCTGGCCTCGGCACCACCACCACAACCACCATCACCACCACCACCACCACCACCACCCCGCTCTGAAAGCCCTGCAGCTAGTGGTAGTGGGGGGAGCAATAGTGGAATCTGCTGCCCTCTGTTGTCTGACTCTGCAGTCTCCTCTTCTACCTCTACCACCTCCTCCTCTTCCTCCTTTTCCTTCTCCTCCTCCTCCTCCTCCTTGTCCTCATCCTTGGAGTTGGCAGCAGCGACTGCTGCTACCCCCCCACAGAACAACACTAACATTGATGAGCCTATAAGAACTGATCCTTTTGGTGAGTTGCAGAATCCACATCAGCTGCGGCAGCCGGTGGTGGACAGTCGGACGACAACAGCAAGGACGATGCTTCTGGACCCCCGACACCAGCCTCAACCGTGGCAGCTACATCACCATCATCAACAGCAGCAGCAGCAGCAACACCATCCCCAACAACAACCACCACCACCACCACCACAGCAGCAACAGCAGCACACACCACCAACATCACAACAACAATCACCCAAGCTATGTTCACCCCAGACCACCCAGCCAGTTCCACAACACATTCTGAATATGGCACCAGTGCCGGAGGAGAAGGAAAGTGTGCAGAACCAGCCAAATTTTGAGGTGAGGTTTGTGAGCACTATCACTTCTACATCTACTACCAATTCTATGGTGCTTAAGAAATCTGCAAGTCCAACCAATTCAGTTTCCACCACTTCTAGTACTACCATGACTTCAACAGTTGCCATTACAACTACAACAACTGGTAGACAATCTTATAGTGGTACTCTGCAACAGCAGAGTGTAATAAAAGGTGGCCAGGAGACTGGCAGGAATTGTATGTCTACAGGTGACTCTTCAAATAGTCCTATTGTTCCAATCTCACAGACTCATTTGGATGATTCAGATGTCTCCTCTGCAGCTCCTGGGAGTAAAATGATAGCACACCATGTGAAGAAACGGTTGTTATCTTGTCAAAGGATGCTGAGGCTTGAGGCAGAAGAGGCAAGCAAGAAGCAGCAGCCACAGCACTTGAGTCCAGCAAAAGATGTTGGAAAGGCTATTGGCAGCTCTTCGTCTGCTTCAACACAGTCGCCTTCGCAAGAAATGGCTTCGGCTTCTGAACAACGGAAACAATCTCGTTCAGAATATGACTTTCCCGACAGCCCTGACGATGCAGAACCAATAAGCAGGACTTCAACAAAGAGATATTTGTCTTTCTCAACTCCAGGATTGAAATGGAGTTCATCCGACAACGCTCCATCAGATTCCCTCTCTGACTCTAAGATGGCAAGCTCCACAATGGACACCTCATCATCCACTGATGTCTCTGGTAGTAGTCCAGTGGTCAGTAGAAGTTCTTTAGGCAGGGTTGACCAGCCAAGATTAACACCCGTGGAGACCCATTCAAACCTTACACTTTTTTCTTCAGGTAAGGAAAAGAGTCTCTCAAGAGAGAACAGCTCCCGTGGTGGGAAGTGCATTGCTACTAACAACAACAATTGCAACAGTGTGTCCCCAAATCCCAGCTGTGTCTCTACCAATGATGATGATGTATGTAATCTTCAAAGTAGGGCAGACATGGTGACAACCGACAAAGCTTTGAAAACTGACTTTACTGAAGATATTGTTGCTGCTACGACTATTACTAGTTCTTTCCAATTATAATATTCACAAAGTCCCACCTAAAAAAAACAAAAAAAAAAAAAAAAAAAAAAAAAAAAATGGGGAGGGGGGAATAATGTATATTGTTTAACAAATTTGGTTTTTCAATTCTTAAGTGGGTTGGGATTTCTTTTTTTTCTTTTTTTTTTTAAATAAATATTGGCAGATAATGAAAGTAATAAAGTAATAGTAAGTACTTGGCGTAGCCCTGAAGAATGGAAGTCGTAGTCTGGTCATAGTTACTACTACTACTACTACAAACTGGCAAATGAATGATCTGCCTTTAATTCCAGCAACTGCAGCTTTGTCTATGTCAGTAGCCACCAGGTGGCAAAACTAACCTAGGTAGAGAGATCCCAACACTTTGAATCGCGCACACACACACACAGACACACACTTTACAATTGTATCTATTATACTTCCATAATACATTTACATACTTATATAAAGTCATTTTTACACACACACACACACACACACACACACACACACACACACACACACACACAAAAACACACACACGAGCATTGGGGATCAAAAGATTTGTCCTTTTGTCATAAAATATGACATCTAAATTCTCAGGTGGCGATGGCTATCCCATCGTTGCTATGTTTGTATAGGACCTAATGACAACGACTACAATTAATTTTATGTAAATGTGTTTTCTGACCACCATGTGTTTGGTATGTCAGTGAAGTTAGCAGACTGGTGAAAAAAAATAAAAATATTACATTTGGAAAAAAAAAAAAATAGAAAAAAAACTGAAAAGGAAAAAAAAAAAAAAAACTTGTGCTTTTCATTTGTCATCTGAACATTTTGTTCTTTTCATCAAAAAAAAAAAAAAAAATTTCCTTTTTCAAAAAAAAAAAAAGAAAAAAGCCCCCCACCCCAAAAACCAAAAACTCGAAACCAACAAATATCATTTATGCGTTATTTTAATTAGAAATATTTTCTTGTCAAATAAATGTAAAATTATTGGTTAAAAGATGGACATTTTTCTTCTCTTTTTTTTTCTCCTCCTCTCCCAACTTATATTCTTGATTTTGTATTATTTTTACATTTTTGTTTTATTGCTGTACATACATCACTCTTTCTCTCTTTATATATATATATATATATATATATATATATATATATATATATATATATATATATATATTATTCCTTCCTTAGCTTTATTTAATATTTGTTGTTGCTGACTGTTAATTTGATTTGTTCTCACTCATCCCAATTCAACTGCAGCCCCAATCGAACAGACTTTTAGAAGCTACTACATAAATCATTACATGCAGACATACACAAATACACATACGCACTCTTCATTCTGGAAGCTAAACTCTTTGCATATTGACTGCCAGGGACATCCAGTTTTCAGTCTCTTTTGAGTTGTGTTTTCCTTCTGTCATGAACTCCACCTTATCAGCTTGTTCTGTACAGACTGAAAAATTCAAATATGTACAAAGATAAGTGTATAAAAAAAACATTTTCCTTTTATCCTATCGGTTGTTTGTCATATCAAAAAAAAATTTTCTAGCTTTATAACTCTTGATCAGGTTGTCTCTGCAATTCACAGATGATGAAAAAAATATTGATTATTTTCTGTAGGTTTACAAGTTACATTATTTTCCAAAATTCCAATCCCTGTCTTGGTCTGGGTTTCAGGTAAATTTATTTATTTTTATTCTATTTTATTTTATTTGTAAAAGAGTAAATTTTCTGATTGTTGCATTAGAAAATGAATAATAGGGTACTTTATCTGATTAAATTTTACTTTTTATTTTTTTTTAAAAAAGTATTTAAGGAATTTTTTCCAGAAGGAATTATGTAGCTATATTATTTAAGTTAGAATTTTTATAGAAGATCTATTTTTCTACATTGAGTTCAATTTATTTGTTCTATGAAACAATCTAAAAAAAAATATACCTCAAATCAATTTCTTTTTGCAGGCAAGGAAAAACAATTCTGAGTGTTCAGAAAAATATGCAAAATTTATTTTAATTTTATGTTAAAAAGAAATAAGATATTTTCAAATTTCAGTTGGAAGGATTTTTTTTTTCTGTAAATAACTGTAAAAGTATTCATTTTTTTATATGGAGATGTGTGCACAAGTATAACAAATATAAAACATGTAAAATTATGTAATTTTATTTATTTATTTTTTTTTTTTTTATTTTTTTTTTTTTTTTCATAATGCAGTAAATTTGAATGTAAATGGTTTTCATCATTAATAATTTTTTCAAAGCAAAGTAAAATTTAATGTCCAACTGAAGTACAGTTTGGGCTTAAAATTCAACCACATACCTACTATTGTTAAACTTAAAGCATCTTGTATCTTACAAAGAATGGCTGTTACTTTAGCAAATATATAAACATCTGATATATTCTTTAGCAAGAAACTTAAAATCACTTAGGTTCAACCTCATTTGAAACTAAGTAAAACAGTTTGAAGTGGATTGAGAGCAACATTGTTTACATTTCTTTAAACCAATGGTGGATGAACTACAGCTAGCAGGCCACACATTTGGCCTGTGACAGGTGCAAACTGCAAAATCATTTCAAAGTTCTTTTTGGTTGTTTTTTTTTTTTTTTTTTTTTTTTTTTTCATGCATTATTATTTTTTCTTTTTTTTCAGTTTTAGTTAATGTCTAATGGAAATAAATGACAAAAATCTACAACAGTTTATCTATTTCATTGAATCTTCAGGAAAAATGATGAAATTTGTAAAGATGATTGGTCTGTTAGAGAATGCAGAGACCAGTCCAGGATAGCAAGTTACTGGCCAGAAGACCTATGGATGTGGAATTCTGACAGTGTCTAAGGTTTGGATATGAGGGCCAAATGAATTTTGAAGAGTTGATAAGTTTTCCATACCTAGATTCCTTAGAGAGGCTAACTTGTATGTGGTGAAATGTGAAGCCAACAAAGTGGGCATGTGTTCCACTGAAGCTCTTCCTCTTGCTACCTCCTAGAATCAATGTTGCTTAAAGCCGATTCACATTGAAACACTGGATCCTGTATGATCATTGAAGTTAAGCAACATTGAGTCTGGTCAGTACCTAGATGGTTGATCACTTAGGAATAGCAGGTACTGTAAGCTTGGATATGTGCAGGTGCTTTAATGGATAATGGCTTGGAATTATTAATCAGAGAGCAAAGTTCCAATTCCAGTTGGGTTTGTTATATTCAATTATAGATGTTGATATGCCATTAAACAACCAACCAACTTAAAATCTGTTCTACCACATTTGTCCGTCTTGTATAAGTGATTATGAAAAAGAAATTGTTCTTTGTTGGACAATTCTGTTAGAGTTGGAAAAACTGAAGCCAGTGGTGGCATGAAATGTAACATACCACCCAACATGTAAGTTGTCTTAATTGTTTCCAATGTATCAGTTATTAGTTACTATTGTCGATGCAAAAAAGGTTCTTGTATGTTCATTATTCAAGTATTTTTTGATACCTGTAGCCTGTCATGAACCTGCCAAAGCAAACACGTAGCTCTCTGAAAAAATAGCTTTAAACTTTAAAAAAAATAGTTTCTGTAAATTAAGCATAATTTGAAATGAAACAAGAAATTCAAGGTAAGTATTATTTTGAAATACAATTGCTGTAATTATAATTTGCTTTCTGAAGTTCTCTAGGAAAACCCATGCTGAAATTTTTGATGGAAGGAGCAGCAACTTCACACTTTATAGAAGAAAGTGATTCATTTTATTCCCCACAAAATAATTATGTATACAATTACCAAATCCAACAACTTGTTTGTTTTTTGTAAAGAAAATGGTTGCTTTTAAATATCTTTTTTTTAACCTACATTTTGGCAAAGTTTAATAAAAGTACTAACAAAAAAAAAAAACTGTCAAAAGGATGGATTTTCTTTCGACACTGCAATTACTGTATGCTGCTACCTCAATAATTTATGTTTTCAAAAGCTATTTTTAGAATTTTAATAAAATCCAAACCTATGAAACTGGATTTATAATTTTTTTTTTTTTTTTTTCTTATTTACAAGAAAAAAATTTTTTCATAAATTTATAAAAATGTCTGAACAGCAGAACAAAAAAATTTAAATTCTGATGAATTTTAAATTTTGAAATTTTTACAGACATTATACATCTCAGATTATTTTATATCTCAGATTGCTCATTGTTTTAATTTTCCAAGGGGTGCTCATCTAGCTATTATAAATTCATTGTAAAATTAAATTTTCAAAATCACATAAAACAATTTTCAGAAAAAAATTTTTTATATATAATTATCAATTATTCTTCATAGATCACAATGTCAAACCTTTGTGCTTACAAAAACAAAAAAAAAAAAAGAAATATTTTTCAAAAGGACAGTTTTTTTTTTCCTTGACACTGTTATTACTTTAACTACCTTCACTCTTTGGCAATGTTTATCGTTTTAAAAAACTATGATTAGAATTGGGGTTAAACCTAAACATTTTATGGGAAGGAATTTATACATTTTTTCTTTTTATTCTTGAGAATTTACAACAAAAATATTAAACACTATTTATTAGCTTGTTTATTTACAAAAATAATTTTATATTTACAACATTCTAAAAACTAATGCAATTGTATTTAAAACTAATGCAATATTCATCATTTACCAATTTATAAAGAAAGAAATGTAAAATCAATTTTTTATTCATAAATTTATAAACATTTGCTAAATTATTAAAATACATGAACCAACTATAAAAGAAATCTTTATTTACCATTTTATAAAGTTTTAATCAATTGGCAATTAGCCAATGTTTTGCTAACCATTCCAATAAACAATATAATGTTTATTATTTTTGTTAATTCTCAAGAACAAAGAAAATATATAAATTCACTTTCATATGCTTAGGTTTTATTAAAATTCTAATCATTATTTTTTAAAACAAACATTGCTGCAGAGTGAAGGGAGTTAAAATAACAGCAGTGTCCTTTTGACACTTTGAGGATTTCTTTTTTTTTTCTTTCTGCCTAATCAATAGAAATCTATATAAATTGCAGTTGTTTTCTGTATTTTCATAATCTAGTAAATATCAAATTATTCTCGCAAATAAACATTTTATTTAGTAATTAGTTTAACATTTTTGCTATTTGTTCATAACCAGAAAGAAAATGCATAAATCCAGTTTCATATGTTTGGGTTTTAAATTTCTAAAAATATTTGCTGATGTTTTTTTCTGGGGTATAAAGCTTTGCATTCCAGAGAAGATCTATTCAGAGAAATGAGGGTGGCAGTTCTGGAGGCTCTATATTTGAAGAATGCTGATAGAATAGCTTCAGTCATATATGATCTGAAGTTTTCCCAGGATGTAACACAAAGAGGTTTATTAGGGTTGCATGATGTTCTCTTGTATCAGGAACAGGGGTGGGCTCATCAACAATCAATTTGTAGGTGATGGAGACATGCTGGTAGTATCTAGACCTCCCTGCCCCCTGCCATTTTTCCTGGTTTTATTCAAGTGGACTAACCAGTCTTTGTGATGGATATTGAAGTCACTGCAAATAGATAAATACTAGTTAAGGGATGATCTAAAAGGATATTATTAATCTTCTTAGCTATTTTGTCGAACATTGCAGTTCTGTCATCCTGTGGACAATGGTGAAGAAAAGGGAGGTACTGTGAACAATAATCCCCATAAAAAGCACATGAAAAAGAAATCAGGCTCCTCTTTTGTATGATGGGGGGATCTGCTACATGTGAACCTGTGTTTTAGGTAATCACCGAATTTGTTGCTATGGTGATTTCGAGGGCCATATTTCACTATATTAGGGATGATTAACCTGGAATTGTGAGTTTCTGAACTGGGATAAATGGATTGATATTGGTTCTAGACACGAACAAGTGGTCAGGTTTAACCCTGAGAAGATGAAGTTCCACGTCTGGAAAGTTGGAATTGAATCTGGGGTTTACTTTCGTTTTTATGGGGTTGGATATGATTCTTTTTGCTTTCACTGTACTCAGGATTGGATAACAAATATTGGTACAAGTGAAAATGGGGCCATGAAATGGCCACGTCCACAGGTAGTGCATTTATCAACAACTGGATTGAATTGTCCAGAAGTACAGCTGTAACTGTACCCTAAATAATGACATTGAGAAGCTTCACTGAAGACTGACTCCAGCATTGTCTAGAACCCATTCACAAAAAGGCATTGCAATAGTTTTGATGGTATAATATTGTATATGTTGATAGGAAAGAATACTCCAAAGTTTGGATACCTGGCTATCAGGCAATTAACACCAACCCAGAAATTGTTACATCCAGTACCAATGAACAAATAGACCAAGAAAGAAGGTAATCGTGATACCCTGAATGTGCACATTTCATCTATCCAGAAATCAAGGCAACAGAACTCCTTCAGTTAGAAACATAGTGGCTAAGCTGGCAGATCAGGTACTGAGATAAGCTTGCCCCACATGCTGGGACTAAAAGCCTCACTGGGAGAGGTGGGAATTACATAGGTTGATAGGTTGATGGGTGTGTGGTGCATTCCCTACTCTCATTGTAGTGAATAACTTTGTTTTACAAAGTTATATGTATTAGAGAACTAGAATTGGCAGAAATAGCATATTCATGAACATAGAAAGATTTGAATGAGAGTATTAAGTTTTAACTTTGTTAAAGTTTTCTTGAATGCAAAATGAAGTGAGAAAATACAATTGTTGATTTTTTTTTTTTTTTAAATGTCTTTAAAAGGTCCTGCCCCAGGAAAGGTGAGAAAAAAAAAGTAAAAAAAACACTAACCAGCAAGTCCCTATTAGTTTGTCAAAATATCTCCATATTGGCAGCCTAGTGACTGAAAAAAAGGAAATTTAACTACACAAATTTATGTTCAAGGTTAACAAAGAGAACACAGCTGAGGCACATTGAAAATAAGATAGAAATATTCAACTTTTCCAAGAAATTTAAACAAGAATACATTAAGAAACATTAAAAGTTACCAATTAAAAGAACTCTTTGAATGATGATGAGAATAATTTAAGATAGGGGAATGAAAGAAAAATAAAAATAAAATTTATTTTATTAAATAACAATGTTTGAAGAATTGAAAAATGTGGTTTGATACCATTTTTGCATCAAATATTTTTAAAAGAATTTTATTTTCATTTTTTTTTTTTTTTTTTTTTTGTCAGGAAGAACAAATAGGAAATAATTCAACACTTTTCCTTATTGTTCATATAAGTTTGAAAATAATTATATATTTCTGGAAATGAAACCTCAAACTGGAGTCAAAACACTATGAAAGTATAAAAATACCATGAATGCATTGTAGAGAAAATTACTAATACTCCCAAGAAAATTAAATTTCAGCATTAAATGACCCATAAGAAGTTGATAGGCCACTAAATAAATTTTAAATGTTGTTTTTAGGGAATAGTCATATTTGAGTAGATGCTCCATTTATTTATTAAATAGACTGTTTAATAAATAAATGGAGCATCTAAATATATCAAATATGGTTATCCACTAAAAATAACGTTTAAAGTGATAAAATCTGTCACTTCTTTTTTTATTTTATTCTCTCTCTCTCTTTATATATATATATATATATATATATACACACACATACCAGCCTCGCTCTTGCATATCTTTTCATATCTGGTATGCAATATACTTTGGGTAATCTTGAAAGTGACTTTTGTGTGCACTCTCATATGCTATGTTAGACCTGCAAATTTTATCACAAAACTGGCAAAAGTGCCCTGCAGATCTGTCGGGATGGACATATTCACATAGTCTGCATTAGACTGACAATTTTCATGTGATCTTTGATGACTGGCAAATCTGGCACATGATAGAACAACTTTCCTGCAGATGTTACATAAAAGCTCAGAATATGGGATTGTTGAGTCTATATGCCTTTTCCAACTTCAAATGCTCAACCTTTTTGTCATTGAATAGTAACTTTCTCCAATCAAATCAATTCCCTGCCTATTTTTGCTGGTCTTCAATTTGTCTTTAACAACATCCTTGAAACATTTCTTGTATTTGTTTCTGGGGTGCTTACCAAGTGCAAGCTCTTTGTATCTACAGGTTGATTGAAAAGTAACTCCTAATTTTAAAATACTTATAATTTATTTATTAACT